GAGTTTAAGTTCAGTCTATAAATCATTCTGTAACAGTCAGTATCAAAGAGAAACCGTCTCCTTACCGTCACAGTGATTATAGATAAACAACTGGTTCAACAACTCGTGTGCACTGAGGCTCAGTAAATATTTCACCTTAGCTCTAGTCTTTCACTTCTGAAGGTGTCTTTATGGCTCAACCAGGAAGCCATAAACTTGTTTAACTCGTAAGTACTGAGAAAAGAAGAGGAGGCAAGGAGAGAGAGAGAGAGAGGAAAGGAAATGAGGACGTTGGACAGACAGACAGGCAGGTCAGTACAGTCCTCTGCACTGTTACCGCTGTGTTGTGGTCCATGTACACAGAGTGGTACAGTATAAATGCAGCTGCTCTCTCAGGGATGACATCATATTGCAGGGTCTTATTAAAGGCCAGCCTATAAAAAAATCTCTTCGTCTCTTCTTATTTCTCCTTCCTCCTCTCTCTCACTCCTTCCATCTCTCCTTCACTCTCTCCTCTCTGATCTGTTTCTCTCTCTGTTCTCTTCCACTCATCTGTTCATCCTGATGTACACGTCCATTCCCTCCCTTCTTTTACATATTTATTAATCCCTCCTTCCACGTATCCTTTTCTCCTTACTGCCATGCATCCCTATTCTCTACAGCACTCCTCTGTCCATCAGTGCTGCTGGCAGTGAGGCTGCAGATGTAAAAGCATTTTATTGTGACCGTTGTAATGAATGTAATCACACGTGACTATGATCAATAAGGAAACATTTATTGTTGCGTCTGTCGTTTACTAGAGCTCCAGCTCAAGGCAAAGAAACTGAATGAACTGAATCTTGTGTTTTCCAGTTCAGCTTGGCTCAGTCTATTAGTTGTGTAATGCAGGTACAACAGGAAAAACATGCTGCACAGGCAGTGCGCTAATGGGTGCTGCCGTGTTAACTGATGTGTAACACAGAATAAAAGAAATGAGAATAAACAAAAAAAAGAAAATAAAGGTGATGCAACTTCTAAATCTCCCTCATTTAAACGTTGAATTACATCTCCCTGCTTCTTTCTGTTTTAAGAGAGAAGCCAAAACTGTGCCACAGTGACCTTTGGTGATTGGTGGTGTACACTGGTGCAGTACGTTGTTTTATAGATCATTTATTTTCAAGATTCAAGAGACTAACTGCAAAAAGCAGAATAACGACAAAAAACTGTTTTGTAAAACAGATTTTATATTTCCTGCTGCAAAGAAAACTTAACTTCAATAACAGAATTCAAATACAGGAATGAGACAGATTTGATGATTTTGGTATTCTCATTTATCAGATTCTCCTTCTCAATCCTTCTCAAGATGAAAACAGAATGACACCGTCATTTTCAATTAGTATTAATTTTCCAGATTGAAATAAACAGATGATACTAACAACATAAGGCAATGGAGTCTTTGAAGCTCATTGAATAAAAAAAGGAATGCTGAAACTACAGAGGGTTTCTGCTGCAAATAATATTTAAAATTCAGATTTTGGCAAAACTACTTGGCAATTACATTTTACATAGGATCTGATACCATACAGTGAAATTATTGACAGTTCAATTTTACTGGTCCAAGTACTTTCCACTGCGGCACCAACACGCACACAGAGACACACGCACACAATCATACGACACAAGTCAGACCGAACTGGTTGGTGTTTCTGTTTCAAACTAGAAACAAAAAAAATCAGTGTGTGTGCTTTAGTGTTTACTGTAGCGTGCAGCTCTATTGTTTTCCATGTAGAAGCTGTAATAAGATACTCTGGTTTCCTGTCATGTATGGAGACGTGGAGACTAAGGCCAGAGGGGTCTATTCTAATGACTTTAGAGAGAGCGGGGGGAATCTGAAAAAGAGAGAGAGCGAGAACAAGCGAGATAGAAATGAAAGGATGCACAAGGTTTCAGTTTCACTGGGTCGCTTATAGACATATTTCCAATTTAATGTTCATGGCTCAATAATTCCCTTTGAGTGTGTGTGTGAGTGTGTGTGTGTGTGTGTGTGTGTGTGTGTCTGTGTGTGTGTGTGTGTTAATGTCAGCGATCTTGTAGCTCGGTCTGCCTTTGACCTCTTCACCCATGGAAGTTTGGATCAAAGTCTTCTTCAGAAAGCTCCTCCATGTTGATTCTTTCAAGGCTTTAACATTCAGTGTCTTCAGACAATTTTTTAAAGGTCTCTTTACACCGAGCAGCAGATTTTAGCAGCACCAGCACGTGGACGAGCTACCAAAATCTTTCCAGTGGAAAAATACTGCTATACTGCGTAACATCATCATATTATAATCAAAACATGCACCTAGCAGAACCATCTTCCAATTGTCCTTGAGGTGTTTGGAGCTCAGTGTTATTTGGCAATACTTGCATGCACAACACGCTTTAACTTTACCAGCTACAGTCAACATGGGTGTGATTTCATATTTCAGTGTATGTGCCAGAATAACAGTTCGCACCTTTTGAAACTATTAACATTAGTTTTTCTAGACATGCAATGTCATTACAGGCCCATGAGCATGTTCTCATGCTGTTTGTGTGTCAAACATGACACTGGATGCTGTATGCACACAAAAGAACCATTGATTCAGTTTTTTTTTTTCTTGGTGGTGGATCAATATAAATACAGATAGAACAAATATAAAGTGTCTTTCTTTTGAAAGTATTGTGCGTGTTTACAAGTATTGACCGTACCTTCCTGCAGCACGGGGATAACAGGAATTCTTAAAATGGCTAGAATTACTGCTATAGGTACCATTAATGGTCAGAAAATCCAAACAGTATTGATATAGTCAGTGTTTTTCTGTTTACACTCCCAAGTTTAAACATGATGAGTGACGAAGACAACAAAATAGGGCTGTACTGAACGGGATACAATGTACTGTATGGATTCATTTTCTTTTAACCTGCACATCACTGGTGACCTCCACCCAAGGACTAGATAGACATTATATCTGGTGCAATAAATGTATTGTGCATTTTGCCTGTTAAATGAACAATAAAATGAAAATAAGCAAGCAAAAAAAACTAAAGTAAGATATCTTTTACTAATATCTGTAACCAATGCACCACTTCAATACAACCAGAAAGCTTTAAAAAGTTATCTTCATTATGTTATCCTTATTATCTGTCTCAGCTTTATTTAGTTAATGAACCAGGGAAGTCTTTGTAACAACACTGTCCACAGAAGAGATAGAACTACCAACTACTGACAACTACACATGACATGTTTCACCTGTCGGTTCTCAGGAAAAGTTCAGTGTCTGCGTCATTTCAGTGTGTGTGTGTGTGTGTGTGTGTGTGTGTGTGTGTGCTTATGTACGTCAGGTGAGGGTGTGTATGGAGGCAGGTCCGGGCCAGTTGGGTGGGGTCAGGGTGGTGACATCATATTAGGAGGCACCGCGTGAAAAACCAAGGCAAGAAAATCACTGAGGACAGAGAGAGGGAAAGACTGTGTGTGTGTGTGTGTGTGTGTGAGCTGTTTGATATCAGAGATACAAACCAAAGTTTGTGTGTGTGTGTGTGTGTGTGTTTGCTATGAGGTGTGTATTTGAGGAAGGCAGAAAGAGAGAGCTATGCAGAGACCCAGCAGCTGTCATGTAAGTGTGTGTAGGTGTGTGTGTGTGTGTGTTGTGGTGCAGGTGTTTGTGCTGACTCTGCATCCTACCAGATCTGTCTGTCCTTCACTCTTTACATTTTCTGAACTTTCTGGGCTCGCTGTTGGGATTAAACTAACCAATCAATTACTTTATCATCTGTAAAGTGTCTGAATAAGATTGAACTATTCAGTGTGTCTGTTTTTCACCTGCCTTCATACCTTAACTTTGTAACTGTATATATATATATATATATATATATGTTGGGTGACCTTCAATCAATTTGGTTTTATTATAGGGTCTAAGGATATTGCGTGTTGTGGGTTGTATAGACTGTAAAGTCCAATGCGGCTAATTTATAATTTTGGGCATTTTAAATATAATTCTAAAAAGCTTCTTGTTTAAGAAGGCTTTTATTATTTTTTATTGTTATGGGCTCTTTAAAAATATTTTCAACCCACCAAGCCCTTGTGTCATGTTGTTTGTTAGCTGTGCCTTATCGCATGTTGCTTCTGTGATTTGATGTATTTTCTGTACACTCTATTTTGCTTTTGAAATTGTTGTGTAGCATTAGTAGTAGTAGTAGTAGATGTATCAATAAACGCATGTACATAATTTATATTGCCAACTATCATGTGACAAAATAATCATGCTTAGCTTTAGCTTTGGCATTAGCTTTATGACTGAGGTCAGAATGAAGTGTTGTTGTTTAGTTGTTGTTGTCCTGGCGGTTTGGGACGACCCAAGGGGGTTGCAAGATAAATGTGAGCAAAATTATTGAAAGCATGGAAAAGATGCGATAGAAAGGGGCGTATTTCTGCTGCATGACCGTTATCTTTTGTTTATATATGTTGTTTTAAGGGTCCAGTGTGAAAATGAGAAATGATTTCATTATCTTAGAATGAGCCTTTTATATCTCCAGCCGCTGCGGGTGGCTTCCATTGAGGCTGCCATGTTGAACCGCCATAGTTTCCAAGAAGGTTGGAAACCTCTGTGCTACACCATGAAGAAGAATACTTTTGATTTCCCCTCAAACAATCATGTCAAGCCTTGTCTGTACTTTTGTTTTTTTGTTTGTTTTTCACCTTTACTTTTTCTGCCGTGCACTTTTCTTCGTTACCGTTCTTTACCTTTAATCCTCTGTGGTCGCTCTGGAGTCACAGGAGTAATATTTGTCATAGCTGTGCCTTTGAGCTTTGACCTCACTACTGTTTGTTTTAGGGAATAAGGAACTGTCCGACTTTTATGACCATTGTCAGTCTTGAGATTTAAGTGTCCGCTACACTTTTATAACTACTCAAACTCACGGTCTGTGCTGTCATCAGGGGGCCATGGATGATTGAGGACACTGTGTGTTTTTCCACAGAAGTCAGCCACAGTATTGAGCTCTGTTTTCGTATGTTTTCATCACAGTTCTCCAGAGATCAGTTCATCCTGGACTGCCCTTCAGAGAAACTTCGCAAAGAACTTGAGGAAGAACTAAAGTCGGACTGTGAGGAGCTGAGGAGCCACGCGTGGTACCACGGAGCAATACCCAGACAGGTAACAAACACACTTGTACCTACACACACACACACACACTTGTACCTACACACACACACACACACACACACACGCACACACACAGGCACACACACACACACACACACACACACACACACACACACACACACACACACACACACACACATGAATCTGAGTCATGAGTCCCTCCCTTTAAAAGCCTGGTTAAAAACTTGTTGAACCAGATCACCTATTATTAGATTACCATACTGCACACACAGTGCTTACAGAAAGATTATAGCTTAAATAGTGGCCTCAGCAGCAGAACTGGGGGTTATAACATAAGGTCAGTGTATAAAAAGCTCTTTCTGTATGGTGTGTGTGTGTGTGTGTGTGTGTGTGTGTGTGTGTGTGTGTGAGAGAGAGAGGTTGTGTGTTCCCTCTGAAAGCCAGCTCCGAGATGTAATCATTTTTAATAAGCTGCTTCCTTTGGCTAAACTAAACTACCATTATGTACTATACAAACACTTTCTTAATTAAAGTCTGTAACTGTGTGTGAATGGTTATGTGTATGTGTGTGTGTGTGTGTGAGAGAGAGAGAGAGAGAGAGAGAGAGAGAGAGAGAGAGAGCGGTGAATCTAACGAGACTGTGATAGATACAAAGATAAAGAAACATCAGCTTTTTCATTCCTTGTAAAACCCAAATATCATTCAGGATTTTGAATAAAATATATTAAATCTCTTGTCTGTGGATTTTCTGCCTCACAATGTCACAGCCCTCGCTTTTAATTGTTTATTGATCCAGTGACATGGATGTTTTTGCTTTTTTTAATCTCATATTGATCGGCTATTCCTGTTTTATAACAACAGGAAGTTAATGATTGTTGTCCAAGATTTTATGTTTCTATGGAGGTCTGCCTATTGATCAATTATTTTGCCTATAACATGTCAGAAAATAGTGAAAAATGCCCATAATGATCAATTTCCAATAGTCAAAAACCCAAATATACAGAGAATACTATCATAAGTGAAAAAGAAATTTGTGAATTTGAAACTCCAATAGTGAGAGAAAGAGAATAATCCTTAATCAACTAATAGTTTCAGCTTCTATTTGCATGCATTCAATATAAACATATCTTGGGCATGAAAATTAATCCTTAACCTTGGAAACAGCATTTTGAAATTAGAAACCTAAAACTGTTCATCTTAAGTCTATTTAAAAGCTTTTTCTGGAGCTTCCAACCAAATCTGTTGTTGTATAAAACAGTCGGGATGCAGCGATCTCAGTTTTTTTTGTCATGAGTCATTGAGTGCCTTTCCCATATGGAAGTTAAATTATAAAACATTGATGTAAATCTATCTGATGATTTTTTCTAGCTGTATAAATACTGTAAAAGGTTGAGGCTTTAAATATCTTCATGTCTTACGTAACCGCTGCAAACCAGACGGCACTGAGCTCATAAAGAAGGTAACAGTATAAGAGCCTACCATTATTAGACTTAATTAAATGTTTGGACTATAAACAAACACTGTGTGCCTGTCTGTGTGTGTGTGTGTGTGTGCGCCCATATGTAATCTTCTGTATTGTTCCAGGTTGCAGAGAACTTGGTGCAGCGTGACGGGGATTTCCTGATCCGTGATTCGCTGTCCAGTCCAGGAAGTTATGTTCTGACCTCCCAATGGCGAAATACTGCCCAGCACTTTAAAATCAACAAGAAGGTACAGTAACTACTGTATTCATACTATAAGGAATTGACAGATTACTGACTAACACTTGAAGGTGTGTAATGTTATACTGTAGTATGGTGGTGGGAATCCATTGCGACACCAATATCTCACACAAATGTTATTTTATTGACTTTTACTTAATCAGGAAAGGTTCACTGAAATTACACATTTCCTTTGAGTATCTCTGCACTCCATCTACTGATTTCCTGCGAAGTGTGACTTGGGATGGTCTCAGTTGTTCATGATATCTTGATATATCAACAAATGTCCCAAGATTAAAGCTACTTTAAGTGATTTCTAACCACAACAGGGCAGAGAGACTCATGGGAATCCCAGTGCTATTCTCATTCTCTGTACTTGATCACTGGTGTTTAGTCCATTAACTCCTGAAACATATCCTCAGTTTTCTATCAATAAGGATTTCTAATTGTGAAACAAGAAGCTGAACTCTCCAGACTGGGATGTTGATTCTCAGTGGGATCAGCAACTATTTTACATTACAATATTTCTTAATGGAGCTTTAATTTGTCAGTGCTTCCAAGAGACACCAAAACATTTTTGTTTCACAAAATTAAGATTATTTTTTCCACAATTTGTTCCAATATTTTATACTTTCTTGTGAATCACTTTTACATCTTATAATTGTTGAAAAGTAAAGGTCACTGTTTGATTGAACTGGTCACATATGCAACCTGAGTTGTTTGAAGGTTCAGAGATAAAAAAAAAAGTTAAAAAATAAATGTCGTTTTACATCTTTCCTTCAGGTTGTGATGTTGAATGAAGCCTACTCCAGAGTTGAGTACCGGCTGGAAAGGGAAGGATTTGACAGTGTCCCTGCACTTATAAGATACTACGTCGGCAACAGAAAACCTGTCTCCCAGGTGGGTTTGGTCAGATTTTTTACACAAAATATCTTTATAGCATGTTTATGAAAGTTATTATGTTTTCCTAATTTGAAAACATAAAGCAAGCACATATACTTTTATGTGTAATACTTTCTTACTCTGCTGACATAATTGGATGCCAAATGGCATTCAAACAAATAGTAGTGATTCAACAAAATGATAAAATTCTTAACTGCCTTTCTCACTGAAGTTAATTTGTGCCCTCACTTACAAAGTATACCTTTTTGAAGTGTTATCCCGTTTCATAGAGAAAACATGTTGACTGTAGTTTCCTTCTCTCTATGTATTTAAGGTGGTAGGAGCCATTATCTTCCAGCCAATTAACAGAGGGCTGCCACTACGCTGCTTGGAAGAAAAGTACGGGTTGTCCAACAATCACCGCGATCGGCTCATGGCGCAGGAGAGACGGAGTCAGAAGCGCCTCAGCCTCAACATCACCAACGGGCACACGCACGACAACACACAAGCCGTGCACGACAGCACACACTGCCGGGACAACGGCGTGGGCCGAGGCAGCCAGCTCAGGTTGGCGCACAACTAGAAACCTGCACAAACACACTGATTAACACCAAAGCACCAATATTCCTCACTGGTTGGAGTAATGTCTGTGTTTGTATGATCACATACTCATTATGTAATTTGTTATATTTGACAAATACTGTTAAAGATGGCTTTTAGCTGCAAGCAACACAAGCTTATTACTGAATGTGGGTTGTGGGCTGCAGAACAAATAACATGCTGTCAGCTGTATTTAAATAATGGAGACCCACCTTTTACTCAATCGTCCTCTCTCTTTGTTTCTCTTTCTCTCACACTCTGAAAGACTTAAATCGACCCTTTAAATCCCTTCCTGCTTTTAAGCTTTTACCATGTGGCCTCGAGCTGTTACCATTCATCATGCAGGCAACAGGCTGTATATACGACGTGTTCCATATGTATCTGAAGTCCTCTATAAATAAAGACATGATGTATGACTTTTCTGTAATTTCACGTTGCATAAGTGCACATGGAGCATAATGTATGGAGTCCATATCTGTCTGAGTAAAGAGACAGAGTGGGAGAGAGAAAAGGATAAATATGCCATCCAGAATAGAACAGAACAAAGAGACAGAGAAGAAAAGAAAGAGAGAAGAAGCTTTGTATGAAAAACAAAAAACTGCATTGACATCTTCTTTCTTTGTTCCCTTTGATTCATATTTGAAATAGCTTTGATTTATTTATCCTTTATGCACATTTATGTGCGAATATATGTATTGATATTGGTTTTCGACATCCCCTTTCCCTCAGGTCGAAGGATCGCTGTGGCAGCCAACCAGCGAGTCTCAATCAGGTCCAAGAGAGGCGACGCCCACTCAAGGCGCACCAATCAGAAAGCTACCTGCCTCTTGGTAAGTGGAAGGGAGATTCTTAAGGCCTTAGTGTGCTTCAGATTGTCTAAAAGCACCTAAAACCCTGGGCAGGTGTGAAGAGGTGTAAAAGTAACGGTTCATGCAGTTACACGGCACCGAATGTCTTTACGAAGAGACTGTTCAACAGTGTGCACCACTTTGTGTGATATATTGTGTATCACAGGCCGTCTTTGAGTGTGATTATTTGGTATAAACAAGGCTTGTTTGTTTGAAGCACACTGAAGCCTCTTTATTGTACATGATTTTTATGGAACAAATCTAGTTTAGATGCTAAAATCAGAAAAACAAAGTGGTCTGTGCGTTAAGACTAATTTCTCTCACTCTTTTCATTTCTTCTCTTCCCTGTGTCTCCACCTCTCATCTTCTCCTCGTCCTCTTTATTTTCTGTCGCCTCCCCAGGATCCAAATCTCAGCCCCAGCAGCCTCCTGACTCTCTCCTCCCAAGCCCTCACCCCAAGTCTCCAGTCTTTCGGACGGGCAGTGAGCCGGCGCTGAGCCCCTCGGTCCCACGGAGATCTGCAGAGCTTCTGGCAGGTCAGTATCAGCTTCATTGTGTTCAGTATTATACGACATCCTATTGCGCATCAGCCCCTGCACAGTCAGTACCGATATAGTATATACATATCTACATAGTACTGAATGTATAGCGCGTTGTTGTTGTCAAATAAATCAGAAATACTGTCCTAATAACAATAACAATAATAATAATAATCTGACATTTTGTTTATGCAGCACTTGTCATACATACAGTATAAATGTAATAAAGTGTGCTTCACAAGATGTGCAAAACAGACCGATACAAAAAGCAGAAACATTAAACAAAACAAAACAAAACAATAAAAACACAAGAAAACTATGAATAAATGATACATTTAGTACAGTATAAGCAAAGTTAGAAGAAAAGCGTTGTTGATGCTGTTTTATCATCTTATTAGGTCCCAACAACAGCCACACACGCATCTCTGATTTGTTCGACCCCAATAATAAAGCTGTTCTGCATGTTAAGGGCCAATAAAAACCCTGTGGGGCTTTTGAAATTAGTCAGTCCAACCTGTAAGTGCACTCTGCTTATTTGCTTCTGCCATTGTTTGCATGTGAAAAGGAAATTAAATGTAACCCTGTCCTCATGTGCTTTTACGCATTATTTGGTTTTCAGTTTGATTTGATTCAAATGTATCCACAGAAGTAAATAAAAACCAGACTGTGGCCTTATGTCATGTCGTTCTCTGTCACAAGAATGAGATAAGAAATGTTTTTAATGACAGTATTGTTCACGTGTTTGCAGGCCAGCCCATCCGGGGCTCTGACAGCCAGCTGTGCCCTAAACCGCCCCCCAAACCCAGCAAGGTGCCGCTAGCTCGACTGCCTCGCTCCCCCTGCCTTCAGCCACTGGCTCTCCCCTCCAACTCCTCCAACCTCACAGACTCTTCCTCCACCTCCCCCAGGCTAACTGCACCCCACCTAGACTCCACATGTGTGGAAACTCCTGGTTCTACATGGAGGAGTGGAGGTAACTTTTATTTTTCAAATGCATCCACATGATTTAAAATAGAGGTTATAACAATAATACACAACTATTCATCCTGTGACTTGAAGTGAACTGATGTGATTGTTATTCCTCAGCCACCACAGGCCCTCCCCTGCCTCCAGTCAAACCCCTGAAGTTTAAGCACCAGCTCCTGCCTGCAGACTCTCCTGCTGAACTGGTTCAGTATCCTGATTCAGAAGCAATAGCAGGATGGACTGAGCGCCTGCAGCCGAGCCCTGCAGACCTGAGGTCTTGCAGCCCGCTGCAGTGGGAGGAATCAAAGTCACAGCACGCTTTCACAGACAATGCCCTCGAACCTTCACTCTGCAGCTACGTGGAGCGACTGAGGAGAGAGGGTGAGGGAGGGAGGGAGCTAGAGGACGAGGGGGAAGAGAAGGAGGCAGGAGGGAGGAGAGGACTGGACAGAAGCTCCTACCATCACGCCATCGCTGCCTTAGAAAACACCAGCGAGGAAGAGGAGGAGGAGGAAGACAAGAGGAGGGAAAGAGAGAGGAATGGTTTCCAGCGGCCGATCGTGGAGACGGAGTCGACATTCCGGCCGGCGGAGTTCGGATCTCGACTTCTGCCGCCAGAAAACAAACCGCTGGAGATGGTTGTTCTGAAGAGAGCGAAGGAGCTGCTGCTCAGCCACAATCACCACAGTATAGCCAGACACCTGCTGATGGCCGACTGCCAGGTACACACACACAAACACACACAAACACACGCACGCACGCACGCACGCACGCACGCACGCACGCACGCACACACACACACACACACACACACACACACACACACACACACACACACACACACTCACTCTAATAGTACTTTTAACTTCTCAATAAAAGCACTTTGTTCCATAAATGTGATTATAACAAAATGTACATTACTACAAACGTTTCACATTCCCAGTAGAAAACATCTGCAGCATATTAAATAAAACCTTTTTGGTAAATGTTTTTTATATTAATTAAATTAGTTTTTTTCAAGTATGAAACTGGACAGACACTATAATGGAATCACTGTTTCTAAATTACCTCAAACACAACTTTCTCTGTACTGTAATTTCTTGTTACTTATTGACAAAATAACCAACAAATCAGATATAAGTTGATATCAGCCCAGCAGATTTATCAGTCGGACTCTACTAATCTTTAAGCTCTGCAGAGTAAACTACAGTGAACAAGCTATCTAACAGAAACTTTATTTTGGTGGACATTAAAGACCCATTAAAGATAAAATAAATTGATCAGCAGCACATTGTTTAGTTTCCATGCTGTTACTCCTGTTTGTGTTCCCATTAATTGATATCATCAATTTTTCATTTCCTTATAAGCCATCAAATCTTTAGGTGTATCATAGACGCTAACAAGTCTCTGCAGCAGTTTTCATGATGAACTAGAACTAAAGAGTTCAAGAGCTAAAAGGAGGAAGTGTGGTGCTGGCGAAGGTTAAACAGAAAGATCTATCAAAACCCGTTACCCTCTTGCACTGGCTCTGAGAAAACTACGCCAGACACACACACTTGTCCATCTAATTTGGAGGTAAACATGTTTACTGGTGCTGTTACACATAAATCCTTTTGTGTGTGTGTGTGTGTGTGTGTGTGTGTGTGTGTGTGTGTGTGTGTGTGTGTGTGTCACTCACACAGAATTAGATCTGTATCCTGCAGCTTATGTTACTGCTGCAATAAAATCATCACTCAGAAAGATATATACCCTGAACCAAACAAAATATTCGCCTAATCAACACACACACACACACACACACACACACACACACACACACACACACACACACACACCGTAGACGGACAGAAAAAGAGAGGGAGATAAAACAAATAAATATAATTGACAGCCTTTTTTCCCTCCAGGTTGCGAGGATACTCGGAGTGACTCCGGAGCTTAAAGGTCAGATGGGCGTGTCCTCCGGTCTGGAGCTGGTGACGCTGCCGCACGGTCAACAGCTGCGGCTGGACCTGATGGAAAGGTACACATTGTACACACATCAAACACACACAGCAGCACAAATGTTGCATCACAGACACTTTTTATTAACGCCCACTACTGTAGCATGAGGTCATCATTTCCAGGAAGTTCCCGTCCCCATAAAAACTAATTTACAAACTTTAACTTTCACAATTAACAGACACTTTCTTTTCAACACCGTTCTTGTGTTTGTATGCTAAACGTGAAGCTACTACATGTAAATGTAAAACTTACCAAATGTTCCTTTAACTTTAACCCTGTGGTACCCAACCTGCAGGTCAATCTCAGAAGAATATATTTATGTTACACATTCTGTTGTTATAATTTGTGTATTTTTCTTGGGAAATAATGGAAACTTTCAGCTCTAAAATGTCTTTATTTTAAGGGATTTTGAAGCCAAAAAGGTTGAAAACAACTGGTTTAACCAAAGCTGGTACACCAGCCTGCACAAACACTGAAATGTGAACTGACGTCAGTAGTGATTCATACCTGCTGATTCATTGTACTGTCCTGTTTGAGGCTGCCCTGTAATGAAAATAAATCAGTCACTTCTGTTCTGTGAAACAACCAGACAGCGACTGAAAGATCAGATTAGAGACGCTGCCATTGGTTGGTGCTAATAACTCACCGCTCCTCCGTCTCCCAGGCACCACACCATGGCGATAGGTGTTGCCGTGGATATTCTGGGATGTACGGGCAGCGTGGAGGAGCGTGCGTCCACCTTAAATCGCATCATCCTGGTGGCGTTGGAGCTCAAGGACACGGTGGGCGACCTGTTCGCTTTCACGGCCCTGATGAAAGCTCTGGACCTGCCGCAGGTAACACACACACACACACACACACACACACACACACACACACACACACACACACACACACACACACACACACACACACACACAGAAGGGTGTACTTAAAATACTGAGATAATTAGTGTTAATGTTTCTACCTCTGGTAACGTTATAAAGCTTAAAAATGGTTTGATGGGAGTTTGAGACATTTTTTTGTTGTTCTCTGCACAGATCAGTCGTTTGGAGGAAACATGGACAGCTCTGCGAAGGAACTACACACAGACCGCCATCACCTACGAGAAAACACTCAAACCTTTCTACAAGAATCTGTATGAGGGCACAGGTACTGAACACACACACACACACACACACACACACACACACACACACACACACACACACAAACACTGTAGTCATAGATTAAATCACATCACATCAACATATTGATCCAAGGACCATTACTGATAAACTCTATCTGACCTTAAATCCACGTGCTTGTCAAATCCACCAGAGATTTTAATGTGTTTTGGTCAGACAGTAAAAAATTACATCTAATTTCTGTCTGGGGACAAAAATCTCTCTCTCTATCTTAACTGTGTGTTAACATATAGCATGAACAAACCCCTCATTATAAACTGTTGATTGCTTAAATCTCATTATTTTGCTCACAGATCAGATGTTTTAAATATACCTTCAACCCCTTCAGTATTAATGTGAAAGCAGTAACAGACTTCATTTTGGTCCTCTGACCTTTTTCCCCCATTTTCCCTTTATTTAACCAGGTAAAAGATTTAAATCTCCTTTTTTAGAGAGACAACAAAATATACAAACAACATTAACAGGGTAAAGACAACTGTCACACATTATAAAAAGATGTTTAAATAAGTTTCCAAAACTATCAAAATAAAGTAAAAAGAGTACATTTAGAAGCAAAGGAAAGTCTAATATCCCCAAAATGCAGAATTATAATGAAGTAATAATTTTAACATTTCAGAAATAATTCAGAACAATTTTCTAAGTGTCAAAAGTCAAAACCTTTCTGCTTCATTTTAAATCCGCTGACCTCCCTCCTCTTCCTTATGCAGCTTCCTCTCCTCCAGTTGTCTGTGTCCCCCTCCTGCTGCCCCTCCTCACTTTGATGGAGCGTCCGTCAAACACGCCAGAGGGGGCAGAGCTCTGGGAGACCAGCGACCAGGGCTGCGACATCATGCTGCGCCACCTTGAGGCTGCACGCAACGTCGCACACAACGCGCAGAGCTACACGGCCAACGCACAGAAGATCTTACAAGGTTGAAAACCCTAAAAAAAAACTAAAAATCGCTCTTTCATCTCAGTTTATTTGTCTCTAAATGTTTCTCAGTATCGTAAAAGTTGCTTTCTGTGTTTCTGTCTCCAGAGTTCCAGTGCGATGACAACCTGCTGGAGGTGTTTAAAACAGACTTTCAGCTGCGGCTGCTGTGGGGAAGCCGTGGAGCTTCAGTCAACCAATCAGACCGCTATAACAAATTCAACCTCATCCTCACTGCGTTGTCACGGAAACTGGAGCCGCCGCCCAAAACACAAACCTTAATCTGACTTCACCTATGCAGCAACTCTCCCACATACTGACAGGCTTCAGTAGAACATGAGGTGGATCAGAAACCAGCTCCGAAGAGAAACAGACTGTAACGAGGAAGAGACGAGCTGCCGTCACTGTGGAGGTAGTCTGAGGTAGAGGAGTTCAAGATCAAACCTCACACACAAACTCTGCTCACCTGCAGCTGACTTTTTATTATATTTTACATCAATTTAAGAACGAGTCTGTCTTTATTTGTGTGTGTGTCAGGGGCTCATAACATCAGTATCCAGTAAAACAATGTAAATCTGCAACTTGTTTAAATCACCTACAGCCTAAAATATATCACACACACACCTATATGAGACTTGTATAAATACATGTAAAAATACACACACATACAAGCAGAATCTGTAACATACATGTAAGAGGACCTACAAAAAGACAACCTTTTAGGGACTGAGATAAACAGCTCTAAGCATCGCCACAATCTGAAAGATAACGTCTTATAAAATGAAGAAGCAGCGCTCCAAAAACCTTAAAAAACATCTCAATACTAAGTTTACCATTTTATTTCCTTAAACAGACACGTTTCTGCAGACCAGAAACTGCAGTCCTATAGGGGATAAAGATCATCCCTGTAGGTGTTCTGACTTTTATTACACAATGAACAATAATGTTGACTCTATTTAACACAATTCTGTTGTGTTTAACTAACCCTAAAGCATATCCTATAATGTAAAAATCCCCAAACATTGGACAAACTGTACATTGTTGTACTTACTAAGATACTGAGATGCAGCAACCACAGATCACCAAACCACTTAATGTTTTGATGACAAAAACTTTCTAAAATGAGGGACTGATATTTGTGAGAACGGAGCCGACAGGAGAGGCTTAAAAGGCTCGTTTTATTTCTATACTGACATTCCAGTGAATCGAGACCATATTTCTTTAACAAGATTTAAAGGAGAAAAATAGCAGATAGCTCTTAATCCTGTGACGAGTACACTCAGAGGAAAATGTACCTTCTAGGTCACTGTCTGCGTATATTGTCTAGCTAGAAATAATAAATGTATTTAACAGTTAGAATGAGTGATTAAGAGTCCAACCTGTGCTTTTGATACAAAACCACCTGACCAGTTTGTTGCTTATTTATCAAGCAAAAAATAGTCTACAGCTCAAATATATAGTATTTTCTCCTTCTCAATACCGATTCCTATACCTGAACTCTGCGTATTGGCCAATACAGAGTACCGGTTCGATACCAATCATGCCTTTGCCATTTGGAATTTCTCTAAACACAAGTTAACTTGATATTAATAGCCATGTTCCCAAAAGGTGTTTTTTCCCCCCAATTCATTGGATGGAAAAAGGTCAACAGTAAATCTTTTTACTTACAAACGAAGCAGAAAATCTGACTTCTTCTTTCTGTACATGTGTATATGTAGCTACTTTTCTTCCAGGGATTCTCTTGACGGATGAAAATATTTTTGTTTCTGCATAAACGTGAATGAATTGATTAAAAAACAGAAATATGTTAAAGTGTGAGAGTAAAGTTGTACATATTTGAAATATAAGCATGTTAATAATTGACTGTACATATTTTCTGTAGAAGACTGTAAGAAAAATATGTGGATGATTTTAATGTTTATATTATGAACTACTGTAAGATTTAATAAATATGGTGTACAATCTGTGTAATATACTGAATATCTGCATGTGTAGTAAAGTTTAAAAATACAGCTGTGATATCACATCCTGGTTGAAAACTTAAAGACACGTTCTTTGTGTTCAGTTCTTAACGGTTTGTGTGATGTTGACACTATTTTAGTTATTTTACTCTTGAATTCATAAAAACTATTAAGCTAAAACGTCCCATCTGGTTAAAAGTCACAGCTGAATTTAAAATCATCACAGAAAACAAACCCACTTTTCATTGCTGCTTATTTTATTAGAACAATATCTTGGAAGAAGAAAACAAAAAAAAAAAAAAGCATTTTGTTCACAAAGTGTCCGACAACATTCAAAGTAAAAAGATGTGCACAACAATATGGAAAGAGAAGTACTGCCATTGGTTATTACAACATATACAACATGGTAAAAACACACATTTACATGGATGTTAATATCCTGCAGAATCACTTGTACCTGCTGTTGATTTCATTTACTGTGATTGGATTAAAAAGAAAAAGGCTTTTCATCTGGAGTTAAACAGCTGGAGAGAATCTGTACATGGTCGTCGACGGTTTCCCACGGGACAAACGTGATGGTCGGAGTTTAAAAAGAAGAGGAATGTAGAACAAGTCGTCGTGTTTCAGCACCACGCTCACAGTAGTAGGCAGGTTTTTATTGTACAAGAACTTAATGCTAACTTTATCATTATTTAGCATCTCAAAGCTGATTTGTTATGTATTTTTTGCATAATATTCAGAATTACAGCACAGTGGCTTTTATAATACACAGCTCACAGTTTTTATGTATTATTGGTATCAAAAATGAACCGTTAATGGGACTTTTGGTAAAGTTTCAAAGCTGCTGCGTTACCACAGTCATCATGTATTCTTTGATTTAAAAGGGACAGTACACTCCAAACAGGCCTGAGCCGAAGTGAAGAAGGAAATTTGAGGGTAAAACTGAAACATTTGGAGCGTCTGTTTGAGAGAAATGCCTTGCAAGCGTCCTCACAGCAACATAAACACTAACTTATGAGGACACAGAGGTGGCTTCTGTATATCACTGCCTTTATCTTTGTCACATCAGAGGATTATAATGTCCACTACGAATAGCTCTGGTATGCCTGAGTGCGCATTTACAATTACAAGCAGGGTTTAGTGCTGAAGCTGGTATTATTATTATTATTTTTTTTTTAAATATAAAAATGCTCACTGGCTGGAGCTTCTCATATGATTTGCTGCCTCTCTGTTTTACATCATTAATGGAATATCTTTGGGTTTTTGACTGAACGAAACTAGCACTGGAAGACACTGCCTCGGGCTCTTACAACTTTTAATAGGCATTATTCACTATTCATTTCTTTTAACATTTTATAGACTAAACATTCAAAAATAATAAATCCATATCGAAGAACAATTTGCAGCCCAAATTGCTTTATAACGGTAGGACCAAAACAATCTATGTAACACTTGACTGCACCTATCTTACATCATAGTTTAGTTTATAAAATGTAAATATGAATCAAATATAAAGGTACAGCCAGCAGCCTGTTGGCTGAGCTTAGCATCATGACTAGAAACAGATGGAAACAGCTAGCCGGGCTCTGTCCAAAGGGTAACAAAATCTGCGTCTCCCTTGTTTAATCTGCAGGTGTAACAACGTCAGGCTGTGGAGAGAGATTTTCTCTCAATATCAGACAGTTTTCTCCGATGCAAACTCGCAGGCGGGAGAGGAAACGTGGAGTAGTGTGAGTGAGAGTTCAAGTAACAACACCTACAGCATCATTCTGTACATTTCACAGCTTCATCGAAGAAACACAGATTTACAACCAAGGCGTTGCCACCTGCTGTTTGGATCGACAAAAGCGGAATCATTAGTGGCATTTTTGTCTTAAATAGCATCAAAAGGAAGTCAAACTTTACTTCAGATGTGTAGTTTTGTTAGTCTATCGAAGAGATACAGTGAATGGTTTAAAAAAAAAAAAAAAAAAATCACCAGAAAGATGAATGAATTCAAAGAATCTAGAAAATCATGCAAAGAAAGTTGGTCAATGCTCGTCAAGAGTTACAAAGAGTATAAAAACCATCAGGAAGAGAGAATTACTAGAGCTCGTTTCTTTTTGTTTTCTCGCTGTGACGCAGTGGTCATTCATAAAGTTCACACCTCCTTCAGCAGACGACACAGACTTTTCATTCAATCACTCATTCATTTACTCGTCCATTTACTCAGATTCAAATGCTGTAGTACTTCAGGGCAAAGTGCATCAGTTCAATTCAAACCTTGTTGTCTCTCATGAAGAGTGTCGATCAAACAAACCTAAAAACAATCACCATGGAAACACATTCAGTATGACATAAAAAGGTGTTAATATGTACAAATCATTCAATGGTAAACAACATCACGCATGTAACACAGGCACATGTACACACATTTACACGTTAACCTGTATGGAAAGTCAAACACCCGGAAACATACACGGTTTTTGGACTGTTTGGCTTTCCATAGACGTGCGAACATGTCGTGCGAACATGTCGTGGATACATGTGTGCGTGTGTCGTCACATTCACTAATAAAACTGATTAAATGGGGGGGGGTTCCAAGGAGATGAGGGTCCCCGAGAAGGGCGGGGCTGAACCCAGGTGGCTGATGGGAGATGTAGTCAGGCGGACGAGCAGACACATCCAGATATGTGTGTAAGTGTGGAATAATCCCTCCACGGTAAAACGACATGAAGTTTTAAGGCAGAGTCAGAGACACCGGAGCTCCTCTTGATGTTTGGTGTTACTAAAAAGTGTCCCAGTTCTGCTGGAGCTGAGCGGTGGTTCGGTGAGGGAAGGCTCCCATCTGCTGGTCGACTGGTGGAATTACAACCCCCGTAGGAAAAGGAGAGGAAAAGTGGGAAAAGAAAGGCTGTAGAGAGGTCCTGTATTCACCTGATAGTCCTGCTATCTAAGAGTAGCTCTGATTCCATCCAGCTGCTGTTTTATTATATATTTAACGCAAACAGAAATCATTCACATGCTGGACTTCCATTCAAACGTCACGATGGCATTCGACATACAACTCGGCCAAAGTTACACACTTTCCTAAAGTTGCAGTTAAAGTCACGGATGAAACACTCGATCATGTTTGGGACACATTTAGGACACGTTAAGGACATGCGGCTGTATGAGGGTGAAGGCAGGCATGAGGAGCAGAGTGGCGCAGGCAGGCAGGCAGACATCACCAACAGAGCACAGATGATGATGATTATGATGATTACAGGGATGAGTTGGAGAAGTGCAGCACTGACTTTGTTAGTGGCAGCAAATACTGCGAGCACAACTGACCCTTAACAAACAGACCCTGACGTTCTTCTGAACTTTAAATGAATGATTTCACCTCATGAGGAGCTGGACCAAAAGTCTGGGAGAAAAGTTTGATTTAGAGAATATGGCAAGTGGAAATATTTCAATAATATATTAAGGAAAAAAATAGTAAATTGAAAAATCTCGAGGGTCCAGTCCTGAACTTTAAAATAGCAATTTGACCAAGAAATAGCTCATCACAAGGTTCACTTACTTGATATTTCCCGAAGCTTTCAGCCACATCTCGTAGCCTTCTTCAGCAGAAGAAGTTGCTCAGTTGCCACGTCATCGTTTGTGATGAGAATTTCTTGTCAAGATGCTATTTTATAGTTTGTGGAGCCCGTTCATTTAAGTGAAAAAGCCTAAAAAAAAGCTACCAAAAGAAGCTTGAACGGTAGCCACTACAAACACCTTTGAGAAACTTTTCCTCCAACACTTTGACCAGCACCCACAGAGGAGATTTAATACATGAATGGCAAATTATCCTGTTAAAGCACACAGCAGGCAGTGAATCAGTGAGGTGGGGAGATGCTTCTGTTCTTCATTAAAGGATAAAATCACACTGAGTTAAAGAGAAAACCTGCTGTTGTACCTGCTCTCTCTGAGCTGAAACGTTCAAGTACACGTGTAACTTTTACCTCCAGTGAGTGGCGTCACAGCAGTTGCTCTCCATTTGCTGTTAAATGGCCTATTTAGACCTCGTATTAACATGCGTCTTGGGTGATCCGATCACAAGAGGACAGCTCTGAGTACAGGTGTGAATGCATTAAGACACATTAAGGTGTAATTTCTAAGACGACATTCAGAGGTGGTCTGGGTGACCACATTCTTTTAGCATTGTGTCCTGGGCCACATCGAAGGACCGCCTACTCAACTGACAAACGAAACATGCTGTCTGGTTTCCATTTGCTTCACTGCAATGCAAATTAACTGTTTGGGTACTCTTACCTCCAAGAAAAGCAGCAGAGAAACTAATAACTGCAATATACCCAGACTCCTTTAAAAATCACCCTTTTCTTGAGAGTTGAGTAAGGAGAAACTTTCTAAAGCTTAGATAGATATAAAATTACACAGCCACCTCAGAGCGTCTCTCCTGGAGGGCTGATGATGTGGCACTGAACTAAAAAACGAAGGGACGAATAGTCTTCATATTGAACAGCCGAGAGAAGAGTAATAATGGGTTACAGCCCTATAGTGTTTTATTTGTGGCCACACGAGACGCATCTTAATGCCAGGTGTGAACTGACTTCCTTTGAGCTACCCACCAGAGATGCATGTTAATATCAGGTCTAAACAGGGTCAAAGGTAAAAAAAAAAACAAGGTTACATGCTAGAATGTTTTCACCCACAGAGAGCAGAACATCAGCAGGTTATTTCTCCTGATGTGATGTTCCCCTAAACAAGGCTGTTAAAAGATATATTAGCCACCACAGAAGTCCCATCTTTTAAGACCCCTACAGACCGGGAAGCAGCAAGTTGCAGCTTCTGTTTGTTTCAGTAGCTTGAATGAGCACAAATGTTCCTGTTTCCCGCCACTGCTGCAGAGGTTTTACTTGGTAAAACGTCAGCGAAGAAGCAGAGAAAACAACTGTGTGATTCTACTGCAGCAGTTGTCACTTTCCGGTCTGAAAAGGTCTTCACAGGCTGCTTCACCACCAGGAGAAAAAGTGTATAAACTCCTGCAGTTCAGGGTGGGACTACTCTACTTATGACCCTCCCTTCTTCCTCTAGTATCCCAGAATGCTTTACTGATTACGGATATGGGAGCATGCACACATTCAAACCTGCCACGTTATCTCTCTTTCCCTCTCTACCTCTCTCTTTCCCCCTCATCACTCTCTTCCTTCGTCACCATCCCCACCACCAATAATCAGCAATCAGCGTGAGCCCTCCACCAGCCAATCAAATCGCCCGGCCACCCTGCAGCCCTCAGGAACCTGCAGTCACATAGAGGAGAGAGCCAGTTACTAAAAGACACCACACACACACACACACACACACACACACACACACACACACACACACACACACACACACACACACACACACACATATACAAACATGATTGAGGTTGAGAAGGTAGGTTTTGTGTTCAGGAGAGACTCTGCCAATTCACTGGGATTTAAAAGGAGAATTCAGGTTTTCCATCGGGGGGGTGAGGACAATTCACATTCAGAGTGGAAAAAAAGGAAGAAGATATTCGGTCTGTTTATGTCATTAGCAGTCAGAGCTGCCGGGACAATCCTTCTCTCTTTCTTTATCTTTTAAGAAGACTACAGGCTTGTGGCCATTGTAACATACTAACTTTTCATGGAGTTGTCAAGATGTTTCACTCGGTCTGGACTGAATGATACTGTCACCTTTAACTGTTTTTGCTGGTACCTTTGACATTTGCTATTAATTTGCATCAAATAATTTACATATTTAAAAATAGAAATGTGTTTTTATCCAAGGCTTTCATATATGCAGTACAGAATAAAACTAAAAAGCCCAACATGTTGTAGATGGATTGAAACTGAATTGTCCTCAAACCCAGTGCTCAGTTTTGTGATGTTATGCAGAAACAATAAAGCAGCAGGTTCACAAACCTTTGTTACATTTGGCAGCCTCCCCTTTAAACACATTTTACCAGTAGATATGTAAGAGCTGGCAGTAGCAACGTGTTCCAGTTAGCTGTTCTCTGCATACAGTCACTCAGTTTATTTGGGTGCCATGATTCTGCACCCTTGTTTGTACTACAAGGTGTTGGCTGCAGTAATCACCCTTCAAAACGTGATTATATTGAGATGGATGGTGTTTCTGTTAAACACCTGCAAAAGAGGATTAATCCATGATGGATATCAATGGAAACTCTCTAATGCTCAGAGCTGCTTCTAATCAGTGACTCAAACAATGACCATAAACAGTCAGTTAATGGGTGAAAGATAACATCAAATACACGATTTGTCAGTGAGAACTATAAGAATTATTCTTACCGCCTCATTTAACTGCAGTGAAACCGTTTTCATACTGCACCTCCTAACATATTCCTAACTTTACCTCCTAAAGCTGAAAGAGTTAAAGAATACAGCTGGTGATATTCGATATCTTCTTTTTGTTAGAGAATGTCATTAAAAAGACCAAAACCAACAAAGAATTGATCCTGCTAACCAAAATATAACATAAAATTGTAATGTTCTTCCTAAGGGACTTTATGCAGGTCATTATTTGCAATCACTGCACCAGAGCACCAAAAGCATATTGGTTACTGCTGAAAATAGTCTCCAAAAATGCAATACTTTTTACAGTTTTAGTAATTTTTGCTAAAACCTACAGTGACCAGCTGTTAAAGGTTGCGCCTTTATTTTAAATGAAACTATATATTTGTGACCTACATTTAAAGATTTACTTGGAGACCGACAGCTTAAGGAACTCCAAAAGTATTCAGAAACTTGGTCTGCTGGTTGATATTATAGAAAAATACAGAATAAAATCAGCTTTACTCTTTGAAATGTCCATCTAAGCTCTGAAAGTACACATTGCATCAAAAAGACTAAACTCCTGTAACAATGTTCAGTATGAAAACGGTCCCTCTAACAAGGCTGAAACCTGTATTAAAATAATTCAACCTTTAGTGTGATGGCACAAGTAACACAATAAAACAATTGTGCAGGCACACACACACACACACACACACACTGCAATCAGACAGAAATAACAACAGGTAAAATCAAAACATCTTCAAATTATGTCGACACATGAATCCAAAGAGTTTGAAATCAGGGAGTTTTAAACGTCTCCAGTTTAAAAACATCAAAATAATTAACAAGTAAAAATAAAAATACATTTCTAATATATTACATTAAACAATCTTAAACACTTTGATCGATGAAGAAGTGGTGTAGCCTTGTGCTGGGCTCAAAACAGCAGTAGAGACATCTTTCTCACACACATACACACGCAGAGAGACCTCATATACAAACCACTCAAACACCATCAAATAGGTTTTTTCCTATTTGCCTTTGTGCTCAAACACTCACCTCTGAAACATCAGTCCCACAGATGTGAGAGGGAGATGAAGATGAATGATTACAGAGTTAGAGGAATAAACAGGAGGAGGATGGGGAGACGGGATGGAAATCAGGAAAGGGAAACACATGAATGTCCATGCAGGTGTGCAGATGTTGTCTTTTTTTCCTTGTTGTAGTGTTATTTTGAGGGACAGAGAGAGCAGGGAGGGTGGAGAGGATGACAGACGGATGAGAGGACAGTGTAGCTTCAGATGTAAGTGACAGCACCTTTGCTGTTTTTCTCCAGGGTGATTTCTACGTAGGAGGTGGGGACGTAGCCCTCCTCGCCGCTCTGCTTCCTCGCCCTCGTCCAGCCGTCGCCTTTATCCTCCTCGATGATGTACAGCACCTGCAATCGAAGAAAATATGTTAGTTGGATCAATTCATTGCTGTTGCTGTCTGCACACAGATCTTATTATTTTAAAATGTGTAAGAAAACACAAAGATAAAAAGGTCCAGTGTGTAACATTCAGGAGGATCTGACCACTAGATGCCACTAAATCCTACAAACTGGTCCTTTAACAAAATGATAAACAAGCATTACCTCGTCTTCTGCCATCACCAGCGTCCCCTCGTTCTGACCTACGAGTCAAAGAAACCACAGTCACATTAAAAACACACCAAAGTTAGCTTAAAAGGTGGTCTTAAACTTTGTTTTCCATGATATATTGTCTTTTCAATAATCATGAATAATGTCTTAAAAAATGCTGATCAGGGCTAAAGAATATCAGGTTTTGTTACTTACCCTTTTGTTGGACACGGTTTCTTAACAATTTATGGGAACTGATCATGTTGCAGCTAAAATAACTATGTTTCTATCACGTTGAATTGTCAGTAAACAACCCTGCAGTGTCTGTACAAGCGTCCATCACTGTCTTTATGTCAGACACATCTGAAGTTTCACAGTTGCTAACTGTAACAATGGCAGCCATATTAAGTAGCAACATGCCTGGCTTAGAAAACCAAAAATCAGTTTGTTTAATGTTTTTTAGATGACAATTTCCCACATCACACCCTAAAAACACAACATTTAAGCTCTTTCTAATAGTTTGGTTGGATTTGTATTATAGCTGCGTCACTTTTCCTTCCAGCTCTGTTCTGTTATTCCCTGAATCCTTGTTACTGTCTGACACAGTGGAGATTTCTAACACCTTATATGCTGTCTGTCCTCACCATCAAAGGAGTAGAGCGCTTTGCAGTGTCCGATGACAGGCAGCGGGTCGTCGTCGTCGAATTCGTCGTCAAACTCGTGCGGGTCGGGTGTCGGTTTCCCGGGCTGTGGAGGGCCCGCGCGGCGGTGAGGTGTGTGATGCTCCTGGCTGGTGTCATCTGTGTAACTGCCCTCAGGACTGATGGGAAACAGGCAGCAGGAGTGAGTTTTGTGTTTGCATGATTAAAATACATCAATGCTTCTTAGCCCAGCGATCAGTAAATTACTCCCATGACAAGAATACTTTAGCAGGAATATTAACGTTGAACCAGTTTAGAGAATGTCATGTGCAACTCTGGATTATTAAATATAAAAAACAACAAGCTTCATATTTGTGTGGATCATTTTAAGACCATCCGAATGTGAATTGAACTACTTAATAATCATCATAATAAAGCTTATTTATTGTAATATAGATTTATTTTGATTTCATATAAATTATTATTTTAAATTACCAGTTTTAAAAAGGTGAAATTGAGCAATAACATGCATTTTTGATAATGCTTTAATTTAGTGGGTTTGTCATTTTAGAATAATTTCCTAATTACATCATAGGAAGCTTTCTGCAAATAACTATGTAATCTGGTGCTAATTATAGGGGAAAGGCTCAATTTAAAGTAATTAATTAATGTATTATAGTATGCAAATTTCACATTTTTAAATGTTTAGCTGACCTGCTGTGCACTGAAGAAAATACTGTCTAATTAATTTACTTAATTGGAAGAGTACCAATTGAACTCCATTTTCCCTACAATCAGTAAAACATTTACATAGGATTATAGAAAACTTCCTAGGAAATTACTCAAAACTTATAGAATTTACAAAGTAAGGAATTACCTAATTTGTATTTGTTCACTGGTGTGACAAACAAACATTCAAACACACAAGCATAAATAAATCCTCTATTTTATACAAACACACAAGGATTACATCACTGCAAAGATTCCTTACTGAACTGATTCACTTACTCTTAACCAGTCATTCATAAATAACTTATGTTTAAATAACTGCCTGAACATCTCTCTCTCTCTCTCTCTCTCTCTCTCTCTCTCACTGTGCGACTGTTTACCTCTCTCTGCCTTGAGGAGTGTGATGGTGGTTGTCAGCGCTGTGTCTTCTGTCCCCCCTGGAGCTCTGCTTTCCCTCCACCTCAGATAACCAAGTCTGTCAACACACAGAGAGAGAGAAAGAGTTCATATTACAAGTAGTAACCACACAGAGTATCTTCTTTACGGAGCTGGGCCGGAGATGGAGCCAAAAGCCGTATACATCAAGTATTGACATAATATACTAATTTAAAATGAGATGAGACTTTTTTTAAACACTTATTCTTCTTTTCCTTCCCTAACCCTCCAACACCGTTTTGCGTTTCGTGGTCACAGATTTCAGGACATGACTGATATTTAAGGGAGGGCGGGGTACAGTATGTCATAAACAACGTCATTATTCTATACATTCTAACTTAACATACATTTAACATTAGCCAGTGACAGTTTGAGATTAGATTAGCTGCCATTAAAGATAGGAGAAACATGTTAACATTTAGAAAAGACGATGGTAATTGAGGAAATTCAGGTTTACAGCAAGATGCAAGACTTTTTCACTGCCTTCCCAAAGCTCACTAAGGGGAGCACTAACATTGTTCCACAGCAGCCACACAGACAAGGCTGCCCGCACATGTAATTGTTGTTTATCAGCCTCGTCAGCACAGGCATCGGCCAATGCCAGTAGCAATTAATTGGTCCATCTATACGTAGGTTTTACAGTCATGTGTTACTTGGGTAAATTATATCCAACTCTTCAGTCCTTCATACCTCGTTTTTGTGGATTTCCGAGCGCAGCTTCTCCATGTTACATATGGTCTCTGATATTTTGGGCTGTAGGCTAATGGGGTCTCCCATCTGTGGGTTCTTCTCATACACATCCTTCATCTTGTTCAGGGCGTCTCTGAAAGACACAAACAAACATGCACTGGAGTTAATGGGATGGATTAATGATAATAAGCAGTGTAATTATTCAGATTTTTCTGGATAAGTGATGATGCTTTAGACTGGGCAAGGAATTGTGGGTAAGGCCCTACCTCTGATCCATCTCTTTCTGGAGCTCTTTGCTGAGCTCGTCGATCCTCTGCTGCAGCCTCTTCCTCCTCTGTTCGGGGGGTAAGTGGCTGAAATCCTCCAAAGATGGGGCCTGATGGTAAGAAAACACAAACACACACATATCTTAAACTACATATTAATTCAGAATGAACTCAGTCATGTGGAAGAGTGATGCCGTTAAAATATAACAGGCGGACTAAAGATTAATCTATATACGTTTCTCTGAGGTGTGGAGAGGTCTTAAGCTGCACCCACTGGTCAACACACTTTCTATAAAACCAAGACTTGAAAATAAGCAGCTAAAATCAAACTTAACTTAAATGAAAGAATAGTTAATAAAAGGCAAATTTTATCAATATTTTTGCTTCTGAAGTGTCCCAGTGTCAGTACGAGTAGCTATTAATATAATTAAGGAAAATGGACTAAAACGGAAGCTAAAACTATTTATATTTATGTGGATTTAACGCAGCTTTAGTTTGTAAAAATAATATTATAAATGGAAACAGAAGGCAGGAAATCTATTTGAACTAGGAGCTAACGTTACTATCACTACTGGGTTTATATATTGGATACTATGGGAAGTCCTACATGGTGAGGATACGTGCACAAGCACCTACACTGCTCGATCTTCTTGTAACTACTCTATAGAGACACACACTCTCTCACTTACCGTCTTTACTGACCACTGACGCATTAACCATTACAGTAAAAAGAGACAAACAACATGGGATGCTGGTTAGTTTCAGTACATCAAATAGCCAACATGCCTGTTTGTCAGCAAGAAAACCAGTCAGACTGATGTGTGTTCCCACTGTGGCCAGAAGGTAAATCAAAAGTGGATCATCACGCACCAAAAGGCTAGTTTATATGTTCTCACATAGTTTGTGTTCATTAAACAACAGTTGGCTTTGTTATTTAATGGACACGATATTTTAATATAGTATTAGTATTTGTAGTATTTGTAACATTTCAACAGCTTATTAACTAAGGTTTGGTTTAGGCACAAAAAAGATCAATTAGGGTATATTCATGAATTGTAGGGCTGCACAATTAATCCAGATATTATCAAAATCTGAATATGGCCATCAGCCCCAATGAATGTTCACATACACTCTCTACAAACAGTTGAAATGTTACAAATACTGATCTGTAGACGGACTATCCGAATAAAGTGTTACCTAGAAGTACCCTGTGGAGCTCTTGATCAGTAGTAGTAAAAGTTTTTTGTTTGTATTGTGCAGATAATATTCCTGCTGCCGGTTTCATGCAGTTACACCTATTGACAGTTGGTGGCAGTAATGTGCCAATAAGTGTAACAGTGCACCTCAAAAGGCAGTCGGAGGAAGACTGTGAGCGAGCAAATATGGAGGATAACAACTCAGGATTTTAAATGAGAAATTCTGATTACTTTCATTATGGATTAATCTGCAGATTAAAGTATTATCTTGACTGTTTTGTCTTTACAGAGTCAGAAAACAGCAAAAAATTTTGACCCACAGTCCAAAACTCAAAGATATTTAGTTTACTATCATATACAACAAAGAAAGACAGCCAATGTGAGAAGCTGTAATCAGAAAAATTACTAAAATTGTCAATTATCAAAAAAGTTAGCAAATAATTTTCTGTCAGCCAACTAATCGATTGATCGATGCAGTTCTGATTAAACTATGCAAATATTGAATGAATTCAACATGATTGTTAGGCCTCAAGGATACACACAATGCATTTTGGTGAGAGGCGCTGAATATATTGTGTTTGTTTACAAGAAAACTCCACAGGACATTTAACTGACTTTCCCTGTCGGGAATACATCCCTCTGAATAAGCAGTGAGTATCGTTTCAGTGGTAAAACTGACAGTCAGGCAGCCTGTTGGTCCACCTGTTCTTCTGAGGGCCACTTGACAGATTAGCCACATTGAACAGGAGCCAATCACAGATGGTCCTGACAGTACTGACGGTAGAAAAAGCCAATCCAAGCATTGGCTTGGCACTGAGACCGGCTGTTATTTACAAGCTTGTGTTAAAAGTGTCTGAAAGCAGAACGCTTCAGAGCATACTGACACTGTTAGCAGAGCCTCTGCAACGCACACACACACAGAGATCACTGCAAACTCGGGCCAGATCAACATCAACGCAACACACCTGATGTTGGTAACACATTTCCCCACACAACACTGCAACCAGAATGCCAAAAACCCTCCACACACACCATCAATCACCAAGGGTCCTCCATGTTGTGATTGGAGCAAAAATCTGTCTCATAAATGAAAAGGAGATAATAAAAATAAAAAAACTAAATCAAAAGAAACAGAAGGAATAAGAAAGAGAAACAAACAAAGAAAGACAGATACAGAAAAAAAAAAAACAAGGTGTCTGCAGGTTCCAGCAAGCCAAAATTAAAGTTTTAAAAATATGAACACAATACTGTTCAGACATAACAAAAGAAAAAACGTGTTTAAAATCAAAAAATACTATTTAAAGGTCGGGAATTAAATTGAACTTTTCTACTGTTTCTCCAGGAACTGCAGACACCCTGTAGAAGAAAATGTAAAAAAACATCACATCAACCTATCTTAAATCAAACACACTACAACGCTACTTCCTGTCTCACCCCTCTTCTCAGGCCCCTCAAATTCTGGGGGATTCTGGGTACTGTAGTCTTTATCTCAGACAGATAGTGGCTCACTAGATCAGTGCTGAATCGGGATGAAGGAAAAATGTTGGAGGTGGACCGGGGACGGGAGGAGGAGGAAGGTGGAGGAGGAGGAGAGGAGGAAGGGGACTGGTGGGGAGCAGGAAGAGAGGACAAAGCCAGAGGTCAGGATGACACTTTCTATGTATTTGTGCTGTATTATGAAAAGTATTTCTTGGGGGAGAGAGAGTCTGAAACAGAATTTATCATTAAAACATTCAGGTTTACATGGATATCATCAACACGAGTCATAAAAGAGTCGGAGCGCTTTGATGACTTCAAAAGTGACTCATTCAAGCTTCTTTAACCCATTTGCGCCCAAAGACCAGTATGATGTGAAAAAATGCCATAACATTAGTTCTGATTTGTCTTAAGTCTTGAAATCTGGTACAGACACACTTTGGGCAAGTATGTAACAGTACAAATTAGATAAAAGTGTAATTTTTCATGTGATCAAAAAATTTAAATGTCTGGATTTTTAAAAAAATTGTAAAATGTTGTTTATTAAATGTTTCACATATGATTCTTTTAGACTACATATGTGTATCTTTAATATTCAAATTATGAGTTTATAGATACCAAACATTTGATTGTGTTCCTTGATACAGATACAGAATTTCTTATATTTAGTCTCTTTAGGGTACAGGGGAATACTGTTTCTTCCTAAAATAGTAGAAAATGCCTTAGAATGAATGAATACTGTGATTTTCATATATCACACAATAAACGTTGTATAGAATTATTATTAGTTATGCAACAAGTGAAAGTATTCGCTTGAGGGGTCTTCTCCATTAGTTTCAGTTGGTTTTAAGTGTGTTTGTTTTCTTCTATTAAACCTGTTACATGTATTTCAGAGGCAGTAGTTCTCAATCTCAAAAAAGCAAGATTAAAAATTTCAGTCACAGGCACAAATGGGTTAAATGTTGTTCCTAAGCCCTTAAGAACACGTATCTGTAAGGTGATGTTAAGGTTCTCTTAGTTGTTTTTAAAGCCATACATGAGCAGGAGCCCCTGTATATCTCAAAACCTCTCTGCCCCTACTCCAACTCTAGGCCTCTTGAAACCTCAGAACAATAGTTTTTAACCGTTCCATGATCGAGGTTAGTGGGTAAGGGAGATCGTGCCTTTGGGTGGCAGCTCCTAAGATTTGGAATAGCCCTTGTGACTTATTTAGTCAGAAATACTTCATATTATTGAGAAATACTTAAAATTTGAAGTCAGGTTTTCATCAGATTTAAAATTTCAACTTGTACGGGACACGCCTGTGAAACTTTAGGGTGCCATGTGTTAAACAATTAAACTAATCCATATACACAAACACACACCCTTATTCATCACACAGGTTCCTGATACTGTGAGGCAGCTGATGACGTGAACATGAACCAACAGCAGATAGTTAATGATTAACCAACATGGTCTTTATGGCAAGGGACAAGGTCCAAGGAGTGTATCGGAGGAAATATTTAAGAGTGTTGTTGCAAAATCCAGAGAGACATGACAAAAAACTACAACTTGAGACAATATGAGAATTCGACAGGGGTGCAGAGAAAGTAATAAAACATGAGAAAATATCGACAATCTGCAAATGTAAGTGTAAGAAAGTGTCTCTGCCAGAGGAAAACACTGCAGAAGGCAGGGATGGAGTAATTAGAATGACTGTGTTCAGGATGTGACTAATAGCGCTGCAGGGTGGGGATTTTCTGTTGCACTAACTATAATTCATCTCTCAGGCAGCAAACACTGGTGCTTTCTTAAATTATATTACTGAACAATGAATCAACTACCAGCAAAATTAAGAAAAACTGACTCATTGTTCTTTATAAAAATGACATAAATGGTGAAATTCTGAAGGCACTTTCTTGGAATAGTATATCTGTACTGTATTATGAAGAGCCCTCATATACATTTCCATTTAGTCATAATGAATTATTGTCCATATTTATATTATATATATATATAATATATATATAAAAATATATAAGTATATTGATACATAACATCTGCACTTATGAAACACTGTGATGATTATAAGTATCCTATGAACGTTGATTAATGGCTTTCCAGCTAAATGTGTTTTTATGAGCACAGTTGTAATAAAATTATTTGTTGTTTTTCCAATTTTGTCTCAGAGTTTTTATAGTTTATTTTCTGGCGAGCACCCCTCACTCCTTGTACCTTTGGTTTCTTCCCGAACAGCCACAGCTTGTTCTTGGTTCTGCTCATAGGGTGTTTCGGGTCGGATCGTGGCCCTGGGGCGCTGTCTCTCTCTCCTTTGGGTGTGTTGCTGATGGTTCCGTCTGAACCCGTTCTGCTTAGATTCTGACTGAAGTCCTCGAAGGGGAAGTCGCCTGGAGGTTCAAAGCCTGACTTGAATGACTCAACGACGATGGCTGAATCCTGGGAAGAAGGGAAGATAAAATTAGATGGACAGGTGAGTGGTGGGAGATTTATTTTGTCAGGGACAGTGTTCTTACAGTACAACCGTCCTCTACTACATACCCTTCTCTCGTCGACAGCTTTGGCAGCAGAAACCATTCCTTCTAGACATTTGGAGACGATGGGAATGACTCTCCGCTCGGCCTCAGCGAAGCTCCGGTACGTCTCTCCGAGCTTCACTGTCCGACGTTCATCCATGTCCTGCAGATTCTGTAACACAGAGCAGAGGAAGTGATATTAACACTAGTAACAAGACAAGTGGTGCGGAGCTCAACAACACTTGGCAGTAAACAATCTGTTGGAGTTAGCAGATCTGCTCCCTGGGCTGATACTAAGTCAGTATATTAGTAATGGTTTACATGAGACAAGCTGCCAAGTTAAACATTTATTGGGGCACTTGCCCATGTAACAACTCTTTCTCTAAACACAACAATGGTTTTAGTGAGGAATGCCGAAGTATGCAACCTTCTGCCCTTTGGTAGGCGCTGTAGAGCACTCTACACCGAAACAACCACACACAGGAACCGTTTCTTTCCACAGGCCATCACTCTGATGAACAGTTCAGTCAGCAGTCATACAGTGTCAGTTAACACTAAAATACCCATTTTCCACTCATGATATCATCCCTAATAAATCCTGCACACTGTATATAGAAAAGTATACTTGTGTATAGTTCTGTGTTTATTTGTACCTAACTTTGTTCAGCTTTGTTGTTTTTGTCTTTCTATATCTTCCTGTAAATTGTTCTGTGTGTAACATTGAGAGCACCAAATTCAAAGTCAAATTTCTTGTACAGTATGTGTACACATACTTGGCCAATAAAACTGGTTCTGATCCTGAAATAACAGGGAAAAGGTGAAGGTTTTAGTGCTGCTGGTACTCTTTAATTTATGAGACAATATGAAACAAAAGTCAGAAAAATAGGTTATTTATTTATTTATTTTTTTAAATCACTCTTTAACCAAATCAACTGACCAGTGACTGTAATTCAGATCCCAACAGGACAATAACTTCATGTCATTTTTGGATGGATTCTGCAGTATAACATGTTCGCGTTACCTTGAAGATGTGCGGTATGGCGTTGTTGAAATGTTTCCACTGCTCTGCGTTGAAGTTTTGTAGCTGAGCAGCGTACTCGTTCTTACTCTCGTCAGCCATGTGAGTCCGTAGGTAGAACTGGGATTTGGCCTGAACAAATTACACCAATGCAAACATTAGAACCGCATTAGCTGAAGCCTCAACAACCTCTTGTCCGTCCAACATGACCACACAAGAAAAACTGCACACATAATGGCACTTAGACCCATTCTGCAGCTAAAAAGCAATGCTTAGGAAAAACAGAATATTAAGCCTTTTCCCTTAAAAGGATGGAAAGTCATGTTGGGTTCAACAGCACAAACAACACATAGACACAATGCTCCTGATTCCGCTGCCCTGAACACTGTTAACAAATTAAGATTTTACTTAACTTCTTGCTTTAGGGTTAACACCTCCTCTTATTTCCATAGTTATTCTGTTAAAGACGGTTACATAGACAGTACCTCATCTGAAAACAAGGCTTACTGGGCTGTTTTACCTCTAGATGGAAATGTTTATTTTCCTTCATAGTCTAATTATACAGTAAATGTGGGGGGAATAGAGCTACGGTATAATTTCATAGGCATCAATTATACAGCGCTAACTTTAAGTAAAACAAAAATACTAGGTATGATGAAGTAAGTTATTCTGTTATTGAATTGTGGAACTTTAAATACAGATTTTAATGTCAAAAGACGAAATAACTGTGTTTATTGTCTCCCATGTAAAGTTAGGGTTCATCCAATAATTTACTGTCTGGAGTCATCTGCTCACTATAGATTAAAAGTAAACATGATGGTATAGTTACTAATAATAAAAAAAAAGGAGAAGTAGAGGACAGTTTATCACACCGGCTTACAGATGAACAAATGTTTGACAGTGGGTGTGTTGTGTTACCTTCTCCACCTCTGATTTGGTGGCGTTGATGTCATTATCTAATCGATCGTAGTTAATCTGGGATTTTTCGGCTTCTTTACACTCTCTCTCAAACTTTCTTTTACTCTGAAAAAAAGAGACAAAGAAATAGAGAAAAGGCACCGTGTTAAATAAAAAATAATATACTGTATAACCTCTTCATTATAAATCACTGTCTCTATTTCCTGTCACTTTCAATGAGTTCCCAGTAAATAAAACTACAAAAATATGTGAATGGGATATTAAAAAAAAAAAAAAGGGGGGAAAAAAGTCAACAAGGGAGATGAATCAGACAGAAAGAGATAGTTTACTCCCTGCCAGCACCATCTGGGTCACATTAGTAGAGGAGGAAACACAGTGAATAGCTGAGACATTACAATCCAGTCACTAAGTAGTCACTATTAAAGTCACGCAGACCACACACTGAAACTGAAACACTCCCCATCAGATGTGCCAGAGTAAAGTAACTCAAATAATAGGCTACAGGCCAGAAAATGTGACTGAATATGTATTATTTATAAATTTAACAAGCAGCAATTAGCTTTTCAGCTCTTATGGAATTGTGGTGGTTAATTATAAGTCTTCTAATGAGCGGGCCGTTATAAAATAACTCAGCAAATGCAATTGAATGACCTCAGAAGTGAACAAATGGAATCTCTCTCTGGGGCCTTTTAATCGCCAAAAAGAAGGTTGTCAAGGGCCAAATGTGGCACATGGGCTTTTGCTTTGGATTGATTCGGGAGGGGCTGGTCTACATAGAGGCCTGTGTGTGTGTGTGTGTGTGTGTGTGTGTGTGTGTGTGTGTGTGTGTGTGTGTGTGTGTGTGTGTGTGTGTGTGTGTGTGTTTCCTGGTCCTGGCCCCTATCCTTGGTCCCCATGGACTGGGAAGTTTGCCAAGAAGAAGAAAAGGACAATGCTGTCTTTTCACAGTCAGAAACAAACATTCTAATATTATACTTTCGATTAATTTAGAACAGTACAGAGAGCATATCACACTAATTTTGATATAAAAAACATATATAAGTACCAGAAATGTAACAGATGTCTCTTCACTGAACAATAGCAATGTGAGGAATTAGGGGGAAAAGTGGATCCCTATTTGTCCTGCAGTTACCTTTGTTAGCATTTCTTGTATTCCTCATGCAAACAAGTATGAGATGAGTACAGCTGGCTGCCGCTAACAGAGAATATTTACACTAAACACTTAATTCTTACTCTCCATCCCTCCTCCTCCTCCTCCTCCCTCCTTCCTCACTTACATTGTCCATCTGTTTCCAGCAATGATCCAAATACTGCTGGGCCTTCCTGCCCTCCTGTAGATGCTGCTCATACACACACACACACACACATACACACATACACACGACATTTACACAGAAAATACACAAAAACAATGTATATAAGAACACATTCATATGCACATAAACAAAATGACTGGACTTAAACAATTTATGTCACAGTTACATACACAATAACAATCCACTGGAAAGAAAAGGGCAGAGTCTGCAGCTACAGAGTTACTAGTCTTGTGACTAAAGCATTGTTGACAGCGCAACTGAGACTTAACTGCACTGAAACCTAGTTACTTATTACAAAGGTCAGTCATCATGAAACGGTATGTTACAGCCGCATATTGTACAAATGTCATATCATATGTTTGATTTTCTCTGCTAAAGTTCTACTTATTAGTTTTTTCCACCATCAGCGGATTGCGTTTGCTCAGTTGTCATGATGGAGATGGATCTGTTGACATGCGTTGATGACGATCACATGATGTGGTTAAAAGTCCAGAAAAGGCCAGAGTTGGGACTGTTCTGTCAAACAAGTATTTATTATTTATTATCATATACTGAGCGTGCAGGTCAACACATCTACCTCCATCACAACTGAGCAGAACTCCATCGTGCTCATAAAGCTCCAGGAAAAGCTGGTATACAGACCATTAATAGGGGTTGGCTGGTTTAACAAAGGCCAAGAATTAACTTGCTTAATATTTTTGAATATGTTGCAAATATAAGATCTAATATTTGTGACATGAAGGGATTTACCCTATGCCTTACTTTGCCTTTAACCACTATGCATTCATATGCTTTAGATTGATCAACTATACACTCACATACGTAAGAAAGTTTTTCGTTCTCTTAAATCAAAGACTTGGGAGCACAGTGGATTACCAAGTGAGTGAAAAAAACAATACTTTGTGTGGCAGGTAATAAGAAAACAAAAGAATACATCATTGCATGGATGAGGTTAAAATCCTAACTCTGGTCCACAACATTATTAAACAACTACTGAATGGGATATGTGTTTCTTTATTCTTCAACCGGCAAAGATCGGTGCTAAAAAGGCCCACTGCTAGCCCTAATAAAGCCAACATTAACAACTCTCCAGTCATGAACTCACATCATTATGAATAAAGAACACTAAAAACTACAACCTTTCACTTTAGCATCAGAATGTAGCTTGTTGCCAGCGGGGTTGTTTTCAATTAATATGACAAACATAAACAAGCAAAGCCATAACTGGGAACAACAGCCTTATATGTGTGAGTGAAATTTAATGTCATATTTGACAAAAGGACAAAAGAAGAGGGCGCTGTTCTTCCAAAGCACATGGATCTCAAGTTTTCAGCATTGATGGCATCAGCAGATGGTGGCAGAAGTAAAAGACAGATGGTTAACATGAATCCAACATATTTATCCCCTTGAGAAAACTAAACAGAAAACAAATGCACATGAGACGACACAGAGGATACTGAGGAAACACAGCAAGAGGAAGTAACAGGTTTTCTGAGAAATGTGTTCTTAATTATCAATAGATTAACTGAAAATAAACCTTGTGTGCCACTTTTATTCAGCATGCGGAGAACAGTGAAGTATGAGCTTGTAGTGTACTCACATGCTTCCTCTCAGATTTGAGGTCTTGGCTGTACCTCATCAGCTCTCCATACACCTTTTGAGACATCTCCTCCGCCACCACCTCCCTCTGACCAGCAAAGTCGTTGAGTTCATTCAGTATGGAGTAGAAGGACAGACATGATGTGAACCTGCACAACAGACACGCATTAAATATGTGACTAAGACTGCACACAACATGCTTCCTTCCTAGTCTGATCCCAGATATTCTGCAGTCAGTCGATTCAAAGTTTCTCCTGCTTCGTTTTAGCTTTTGTAGTGACTGAATTAAGTGCACATCTTCAAATTTAAGATGTTCCTTTGGTAAAATAACTCTTTTTTTACTTATTTTTCACTAAAATTCAAACCTGTAACAAAACATTTCCCTCCCTGCAGAGGTTGAAATTAAAAAAAAGGATTCAAATAAGCATTGCGGTTATTTTCTTCTGTGTTTCTCTATCAATTCAAGAAGGAATCGTTGTGTGTTGTTCGTGACTTAATGGTTTCTCATTCATTGCTGAAGTATGGTGAACACTAATATGCTTCACATTTTTTTGCAGTCAACTATGAATAGACTGTACAAGTACAAGTGGATCAACTCCTGTCCTCAGCGTGTGTGTCACCAACAATAAAAAATGTGATTCATAAATGAGTAGATCATTTTACATATCAGTAATGACTGTGGCTAAAAAATACCAAATTGCCAACAAGGATTGTTTTCATTCAAACTTTGTTGTTTTACTGTCTGTGGCCCATGAAATCTACAATGTTGTTATACATTGTACCACATTTAGCAAAAAAGGTTTCAACAGTCACCTGTTTCAGTGAGGACAATGACAGGCGAACGGATCTACCAATTTTTATTAAAAACACATCAAGTTCACCAAATTAAAATGTGCTTTATAAATAAAGTGATATTTTAAAACACTAGCTCAGTGCACTGTTGTCATTTGACCAATTAAACTGCAGACAGACAGAATGTGCAGAACCACAAACCCAGTGTCGGGATCCAACAAATGAACAGTCAGATATTGTTTCCAGCACCAGAAGGATAAAAATAAAGCGTCTAGCAGGCCTTATCTGCTCAGTGTTCAGACGCCTAAAGTAAAAGCAAAAAGCATAAAGACTGAGGCAAAATAGAAAAAAAATCTTCTAAGTTTACTCACCTCGGCTCCTCATCTTTAGAGCGTTTTGGACAGTATTTCTTCACCAAGTTCCTGATAGGGAAGAGAGAGAGAAGCAGACAAAGAGGTAAAAAAACTGTCTGATATTTTAAGCCTGGAAGAGAGACGGGTAGACACACACGCACACACACACAGAAAGAGAGAGGATCTTAGTATTTTATTAAAGATGAATCAAAGATTTAAACATCAAAGTCTCTGCCTGTCCGTTCCCTCAGGCTCTGACAATACACACTAAAGCAGCAGAGCAAGTTAATGATTTAACTCGAGAGCAGAGGTGTGTGTGTGTGTGTGCAAATGTTAACACACACACACACACACACACACACACACACACACACACACACACACAAACACAGCTCCATCTTTGATCATTCTTCAGACCTACAGCAGCAGTGTGTGTGTGTGTGTGTGTGTGTGTGTGTGTGTGTGTGTGTTATGTAGTCTGAAGGGATTTCCCCTCTTTGAAATCGTACTGGGACTTTACTGGTTTTTAATGAGGATTACTGGGTTTGTGCCTGTTGAGTTGTCTCAACAAGCGTTGCAACACTGGATTAACAAACAAACAAACAAACAATAAATTACTAGTCACGTTGCTTTTATTTCAACATTTTTAATGCTCTGCTCTAAGAAGTGCTAAATTTGAACTTTATTATTATGTGCATGCTGGAGAGGAAGACAGGTTGCCCACATCACATCCAAACCTTCCCAACACTTTTGGCGAGGTCAGTCTACAGGATATCAGCCTGCTAAGGGCCCGAGACAACAGACTGGTGGTGTCTGGAATGAAAATGAGTGTTCCTGTATTGTGTCATGGAAGGCAACCAAAGCTGCATTCAAGATCCTTTACAACATCCTGACAAAAAGACTGAGATGTCTGAATTTCTTTGCCTTCTCTCCCTTAGTGAAGTGACTCTGGAAGGTGTTGTGATGTTGGCCCATAATCTGTGTCTCTCAGCCAAGTCGACAAGAATGTCTGAATATAATCTAACACAGTGGCCAAAAGACTAAAATATTGTGTAGCCTGATCCTGGAATAAGTTATGTTCTTTGGAGGTCACTATACAAAAAAATTATAGGCTAGCTTGTTTTAATGCAGAGCCATTCACTAACTGGATTCGTTTTACGAAATAAAATGTACTAAAATGTCTGTGCACATTAAAAATAACATAAAAATCAGATAGGACTCAATAGTGGGAGACAGTCGGTATTAAATTACTCAGATTTAGGGGAAAACTACGGCCCCTAAAGGGACATGGGAAAAAAAAAAATGAAACGTTCTAGTGCGCACAGATACACTAGATGCTATCTAGTGAGCACAGATACTATCCATATGTGGAATCAACACATGGCTAATTTTAATATTCAAATGAGTATTAAACTAATTTGTCTGTAAGTAAAAAATAAATGTAAATTAATCTGTAACCTTTTTGTTACAGTCCGCATTTAAATGCCTGTCCTCCTTTGAGAAAATAACAAAAACAGTCCACCTTTACACATTACCTTGTTAGTTTAATAGGTATTGGCTTAAAATGTGTGTCAAAATAAGTAATTTCATGGTTACATTTTCATGTACCTATTAACACATGGCTAATTTTAATATTTAAATGAGCCATGTGCTGATCCCACAACACTAGATCTGTATCTAGTGAGCACAAGATACTATCTAGTGCTCACAGAAACGTTTCATTTATTTATTTTTTTTCATGTCCCTTTAGGGCCCGTGAAAACTGATCCTCGTATAAAAAAAATCTTCCTGTTTTTGTGGATAAATAGACAAAAATAGAGTGAGTGCGCCTCCCACAGCTGTACAGTGAAAGCCAATTGTTTATGTTAGTATATGTTTGTTTGTTTGTCTGTATGTGCGTGACTGTGAGTGAGTGAGTGAGTGTGTGAGTGAGTGAGTGTGTGTGCGTGTGTGTACCGTAGCAGCTTGGCGTAGTTTTGCTCTATGTCCAGCCTCTCCTTGACAAACTTTGCGTAGCGCTCAAGAAAGTCGATCCCCCACTGAGTGTGTTTGTCCAGATTATCAAACTGGTCCTGAAGATGAAAGAGGAGGAGGAGAAGAAGAAAAAAACATGGAGACAAGAGAGAAAATTAATTAAGATCAACGCATCTGAATTGGCAAAACAATGGAAAAACACATTAAGAAAAAAGAGTGAACAAAAAGTAAGAATGGAGGTGCTTTGCAGAATGGAAAACTTTTCTTTATCTTTCCGACACGTGGGGTTAAAATTCAGGGTTACATGACTCAGCAGTCTATCTGCCTGAATGTAAGTCTGTTCTTGTTCACACAAATAAAATACACATCCTCCTGCCACTGACTCAGCGGTAAGAGTGGTTTCTTTGTCTGCTGTATGTACATATACACACACACGTCTCACACATCGTCACACCAGATTTAAACCCCCACATTTAGCACGGACTGTAATCCAGATTAAATTAGGATAAATTCAGCTGCAGATTCAATTCAGGCATAAGTAACATCACAAGGAGCCAAAGTTATGATCAATATGAGGAAGTGGAATTGCAAAGACGGAAGATGAGCTTCGCCAATACATTTCATGATCCAAAGAAATTATATTTGAATGCCAAAACATAATAAAAACTATTTTCCTCTCTCTCCACATTCTTTTCTCTCTCATCCCTCCTTCATTCCTTCGTTCCACTTCATCATCGGGTAATTCTCAGTTCGACTACTAGTATTATTCTAGTGATGGCATCATGACATTTGACGTCAACGAGACGTCTCTACCCTGTTTGTGTCAGTTTGTGTGTGTGTGTTTCTTTAGCATAGATGGACCGGAAACAATGGCTCTGCCCAACTGGAAAAACACAATCATTTACAGCCCCTGAACACACACACACACACACACACACACACACACACACACACACACACACACACACACACACACACACACACACACACACACACACACACAGGTTAAAGCAGCTGGTTTGTTGTGGGATGTCTATTTGTAATGACAAGTGACAATAAACATCTCCACCCACTTCCCACCATGTTGTGTGTGTGTGTGTGTGTGTGTGTGTGTGTGTGTGTTTTAGACAGATTTGCAGTCGGATTTGGAGATAGTTTAGGGTAAAGGATCGGTATTATCTGATTTATTGCATAATTTATTAATTGTTCAAAGCTTCGTAAGGCAAGATTCATGTAGAAATGCACGAGTCTTAACATTACTTAGTTACCCCTTGCTAAGTGTACATTTGTCTCCATATTCTGGACCAAACAACTAATCAATTAATGGAGAAAATGACCAGAACCTGTCCAAGCTCTATTGTTAAATGCAATGAATCACATCTTGCCACTTTCACTCTGCTTGACCCAATTAGTCCAATACAGTGCACAATTCTTTATTTCTTGCATTAAAACACTCCTTACATCTGAGATTGTATTGCTGTACAGCTACATTTTTTAATTCAAGAAATTACTTATCATTTTACAGTATTTATATATGCATTTTGATGCCCTCTAAATTAGATTTTCAACAACAACCTCATCTGTGCATTGCTCTCTTGCAGCCAACTATCAGTGGTCACATGTTCAAGCGTATTTGGACACAGTGTCCGAGTTATGAAGGTGGACAAAACACAACGATAACTTAACAAAACTCTCCAGCAAGTTTCAGGTTTCTGGATGATATTCATAGTAGTTTGTTGGCTGTAACATAAGTGTGAGCATTGTATAGTGAATGCCAAATGTCTGTACTTTATGGAGATTACAATGCAAAAGAATTATGATCTCAAGGACAGACTGAATGTCACTGCAGTGTCCTCACAAGAATAGGACAGTGGGTTTTATCAGGCCTAACACAAATTAGATTTTTCTTAAACCTTTATTTATTCAGGGTAGGTTCGCAGCACTCTCTGCTGGGCGGGTTTCAGGCATAGAGCAAACATCATCTTATCTATTGCCCACTGTGGTTGTTGCTGGTAATATAAGGGCTTTGTTTAAGGACACTACAATGGTGGTAAGAAGGGGGGGTGGCACTTTGCTTCTTAACCCTAAATGAACCCTGGAGATCAATTATGTATGTTTCCAGTTACAAGCCCACATACACAACTTCAGGAGTTGATATAAAGTTACAGAAAGTAAATCCACTATGGGCTTTCTCAGCTTTTATATTTGACAGATAACAAGAAACAGACCTCAATCTAAGTCAGCACTGTGACACACGTGGTGCATCTTATGGTAAATTAACACCATGACTGTTTTGAACTACAGACACTTCTCAGTTAACACAAGACAATCCAAAGGTGGAGATAATCCATTAACGTATTATTTTTAACTGTGGACGCTGAAATCATGATATCCAATAAGTGTGCTGTCCTAGCTACCACTCTGTATGCTTCTGTCTGCCTTTCTCTGCGTGTGTAACACAAACCAAGGCCTGGAATGGACCAAATAAGAGTCGCCAAGGGAAATACGAGACAGCTGACCTCCTTGTTTGATCAGTTATCATTTTCTTCAAATACAAAGACAGCAGGCTGAAGTGCTGAGCAGCATTGTGCCTTCGGCCTTTACTGACTTTATTGTGCGTGTGGAGAAAAACAACCGGTTTGTTTGGTGAGTAGATGAACAGTTCTGTCAAAAAGTGTGCTTTCATGGAGTCATATCCCTCATACTTAACCCGAGGACAAGATCCCATGTGTAGCATGTGTTCTGCTGAAGTGTCCTTGAGCAAGACTCTGATTCCCTATTGACACAGTTTGAGTTTTAAAGGCATTTTGGTCCAGTTGCTATTGACTTTGTTTCTGTGACACTGATTAGAACTGTTCATATTATAGAATACCTTGTTACTGTAAATTGAAGCCTGGTAGATATTGGTAATTGATATTTATAATCCAATAACGGCACATCAGCAGATTGATTTTCTTTTAAACATAAAGACATAACATGAACTAACCATTTTGATATGTTAGTTTGATATGTTCTAATTTTGGCCAAGCTCAAGAGCAAATCTGCCCTCAACTCAGGGTTGAAAATGCCCCTGAAAATTCATATTTTCCTTGGAGAAACAATAGACCAATCAGAGTTTAGTAAGGGAGATTAATCTTCATAACCTACACTGGCACCTTGCTACACTCATGAAGCGTTAGAAATGGCAACAAGCGTGGATGAGGTCGTAAGTACACGCACAGAAAGTGCACTAAAGTGAACTAATTTGAAATTCAATTTGATTACCAGTCTAATATTTTCCTCTTTGTGCAACCACTGTACATTGAGGTCCACCATAAGTGATTCATTGGGTCATATTTCCACTGTGATCTGGAGGGGAACATTTGACTTGATTCACAAACCCAAAACAACAGAGCGCCTGCAGTCAAAAAGCAGCCATCGGTCCAAGAACAGGCTGAATAAATGAAACCACTGAGACAAACAAAAGGACCCCAGCATGTTAAAACAAACCAGCGACGGGGTGAAACATGGTCTGGCAGAGTAAACAGCATCCATCGGTCGCTACGAGGCCAGAGGCGGTTTTTATCAGGGAAAAAAAGTTGAAAAAGATCTCAGTGGTGCAAGCAAGCGCCACGTGTCTAGCTGTCAATTTCAAGTATATTTTGTTGCTCAAACACAAAGCCGAAAAAGATGCAGCCAAGATGCGACAAACGACAGACAGCAACAAAAGATAACCAGCTACTCTGCAGGATGCAACACAGAAACGTATCAGAATGGCTGTTTTTTTTGTTCTTGCATTATCATCTGCATCCTGCTGGTCCGTCGCCTCAGGTAAATGGCTACCGGCCCGTCTGTTACCAGCCTGGCCTGCCAGCATGCCTGTCCACCTCCTTTTAGCCAGTGTGTCTGTGGTTGCGTCAGCCTGTGTGACGGCGTCTATGAATAAGTAATAGAGTATGAGCTCATCCTGTAGTCTGTGGCAAGCTGAGCACAGACTGGCTCACTGGGGAAATGACAACATCTTTGGGCTCCAGGTCTCTCGGCTCACAGGAAGAGTAGGAGGAGGATGAAAATAATGAGGATGGTTTAAGAATGACTGACTGAATCCAGTAACCCACGCTGCCGCAGCACCTGCGTTGTAACTGATCCTTTCTATTCAGAGAGTCCACTCTGGTATAACATCATGAGACCAGTAGCTGCCTAATGTTATGCAATTGCTTGGTCCGAGATGCCTGTGTACAACCAAGGTCTATAGATTCAAAATTGGTTAATTAAGAAAAAAATAACCAAATAATCCACAATAATTAATAAAAAGAAAGCGTTTAAATTTAGCCGTTGTCCCTGGCAGCAGCCAGCAATCCAATCCAATCTACTTAGTTAATCACTTGGTTCACTCGGCTGTTCATTAACAAGAGCATATAGACATTTATGAGCCTAATAATTTAAACACTAACAATCTTGTTATGTACTAAATACATGACAATTAAAAATTATGACCATAGCTACATGTTTGGGTTCACCGGTTGGCCCAGCACTGTTTTATCACCATTTTTCAGAATAATTAGAAAGGAATAGTATAATATTAACACATACTGATTAGAGCTGCACGACATGGTAAAAACATCATATTGCGATTATATTGACTGATATTGCGATTCATGATTATGTGTGTGATTTTCTGTACTAAAAAAACATGTTTTCTTAAATCAGGAGAACAAGATTTGTAGAGCAGGGCACCTCCGCAGCACTACAGCACTTCATTATACTGCTGCTTTGTCACACACTTTACCTTTACACAAACAAACAGCTCCTGCGGTTTGCGATTACTTTTGTGATTTGCATATTGTACTCGGCCATATTGCGATTTTGATAATATTTTGCTTAATTGTGCAGCCCCAATACTAAAACTAACAGACCTCATATATCAGCTGATCTCTGATAGCAACAGAAAGGTGCACCAATAGCCATCTTATCAGTAGCGGCAACACAACATCCTGTCACATAATCATCACATAATCACAGGAAGGGATGCCTTCACAAACAAAACAACACCAGACCTTCCATCACAGCACATTTGGGTAGTTGTACAGTATGTTCAGTACAAGTAGACATTGAAATA